CGGAAGGCGGCTCCTTAAAATCCGAGTCGCTGAGGCTGCCTTCAGTCTCCTTGCCGGCGGGGGTGGGCGGCCCCTGCAGCCTTTCACAGCCCGAAGCCGCCTTTTGCTCTGCTCCGCCTGTGGGCGAAACCCAGGCTGTCAGAGGCGCAGAGGCCAAGCGACCGGCCCGGGTTCCCGCCTGCCTTGGAGGCAGAGACCCTCGTCCCCAACCTCTGGGCCCCGCGCGCGCCCCCTCCAGGCCCCCTTTTCTTTCTTTCTTTCTTTCTTTCTTTCTTTCTTTCTTTCTTTCTTTCTTTTTTTTTTTTAACTTCAGCTCAACATACCCTTTCCCGCATCCACCAACCTGCTTCAGGGCCCTCGGGGTCGCCCTTGTCCTCGGGCTTCTGGGGCTCGTCCTCGTCATTCTTTTCCAGGTCAATGTTCTCCTCTTCCTCCTCGTCCTCGCTGCGGTTCCGCGGCGTCCACGTCATCTTGTTCTCCTTCTTGAGGCGCCGGCGCGCGTTAGCGAACCAGGTGGACACCTGGGTGAGGGTCATCTTGGTGATGATGGCCAGCATGATCTTCTCGCCCTTCGTGGGGTAGGGGTTCTTGCGGTGCTCGTTGAGCCAGGCCTTGAGCGTGGCCGTAGCGTCCCTGGTGGCGTTCTTCCGGTACGCGGGGTCCCCATATGGGTATGAGCCCAGGGGTGCCGCGTACGGGTGGTACCCCAAGGAGCCCGCCATGCCGGGTGTGTGGTCATAGGGTGAGCCCTGCAGGGGACAGGTAGAGAGAAGATGAGTGTGGACGCTGGTCTCCACTGTCACTTGCATGCCTGAAGCTCCACTTGCCCTGTACCCTGGGGTCTGCGGGCGGGAGGGTGGGTGAGGCCCACACTCCAGCTTTCCCTGGGGCAGAGCTGGCGGATTCAGACCCAAGAGCAACCCCTCCCCTTTATCAGAAGGCAGCAGGGACCCCAATTCCAGCGTCTCGTCCTTCGGGGAACCCTTTAAACTATCCCAGGCTGGACGCCATCCTAGAAGACCCCATGTGCCCCGAACCGGGACGTCGGTGCCCTGTGGGCAGATCGGGACTCCGCAGCCTGGCGCTCTATCCAGATAGAGGCCTGGGCAGCAGAGCGCGCATGTTGGGCGCAAGGGGGTAGAACAAGGGAAACCGAAGCTCGTTTTTCTTTTATTTTAATCCGCCAAGAAATGCAAACGAAACGCTGAACCTTACCCAGCGCGCCCACCCTCCAAAAATGCTATCCCAAACCGAAGCCACAGCGCTTTTCCAGAAAGTGTACCCGGCCGAAAAAAAAAAAAATCCCGGATGCACCGCAGCTCCGTCGACTTTTCAGAAATTTAATACCTCCAAATCGGATTGTGAAGATAGGATTACGGATTTGCAACATTTTGGAGGATTAATTAAAGGAGAGGCCAAACACATTTACATAGATTTAGCACACTTCTGTTCAGATTTCGGTTCTGTTTCTTTTGAACTTTTCCAAAATGGTAAAACCAAATAAATAAATAAATAAATAAATAATTTGCAAGAAGGCCCTGAGTGTATGTTTGAGCCAAATGCTGCTCTTTAATTGCAAGGATCTCTCCCTCTTAAAACCTTTCCCACCAGCTCAGCGATTGGAGAGAGACGCGGCTCTTTCGGAGTAACTCCTGAGCCCGAGGCCCGGGAGACGCGGAGATAGACCGTCGCCCAAGTTTGCACGGGCCGCAAGGTTTGGCTGGGGTAGTGGGTGGGCAAGCGGCGCCTAGGCCCGGGTCCCTCTTAGTCCCCGCCCGCTCTCTTGGCCCGGATTGTCCTGGCCGCCGCGGATCCAGTCTACTCACCACGTACGAGGAGAAGGCTGCGGCGGCGGCCGCCGCGGGGTCGGCGCCGTACTGGAGGTGCGAGTTGTAGCCCGGCGAGGGCGCCGTGAAGGCGGTGGAGCCGGCGTAGGGCGAGAACGCAGAGCCGGAGGACGAGCGGCCGAGCTCATCCGTGCGGGGCCCCGAGATGACGCTGGTGCTGTACGCCGGGCACGAGTAGAGCGCCAGCGAGGCGGACGGCTGGTACAAGTAGCCCTGCGGGTAGGACATGGCCACACACGGGCATGGGGCGCGCCGCGCCGCAGCCGCCAACGAGCCGGGCGGCGCCCTGCGAGGGCGAGCGGGCGGGCACCTGGCCTCTGGCTGCCCTGGACCTCCGCTCTTCGAGCCCGGGCTCCCTGGCTCCGGCCCGCGGCGCCTCCTCGCTGGCTTCCCGCGCGCCTCCGGCTGCGACCGCCGCGCCCGCTCCTCTGCGCGCCTCTCCCTCTCGGGCTGGGCTTTTTTTCCCCCCCTCCCCTCCTTGCTGCTTTCTCTTTGCACCGGGGGGCTCTGCTTTTGGCTTAGCAAAGGTCCTGCCAAGATGCTAAGTTGGAAATTGAGGATTCTGACGCCTTGTGCGCGCCCGAAGCTCCTCCTTCCCGGGGTGTAGTCGGTGGGAGGACTGGCAGGAGCCTCAGTGCGGCCACAGCCAACCCGGCCGCCAGGCGCGCCTCGCCCTCTCCCTCTTCCTTCCCGGCTCCCTCTCCCGCTCGCTGGCGCTCCCCTCGCCCCTCCCTAGCGCCCGCCTCTCCTCCGCCGCCCCCCTCTCCCCCTCTCCTCCCCCTCTCCCCTCCCCGGTCTCTCTCTCTCCCTCTCTCTTTCAGACTCTTGAGCGCCGGCCCCAGGATGACAATCACATCCCAAGCGCGCCGATCTCTTCCAACTTTCCTCCCCTGCTAACTCGGGGCGGAGCAGCGGTCTGGACTCGCAGCGGCCCCGATAGCGGGCCGGGCCACCCCGCAGCACAAAGGGAAAGAGGCCGCAAGCCGCGCTCGGGCGGACGCTCTGCGTTCCTCTCGCCACAGCTAATCGCACACTTAGCGGATTCCTTGTTCTCCAGAAGGATGGGCTCCTAGCTGGATTGTCACCCACCCCCCACTGGCGTCCCCTTCAAATCAGGGATCCCCAAGGCGAGCTGTAAATCCGGATTTAAGGTCCCCGGGAGGGCCGACCGATGCCCGCGCCCAGGGCCCAGGGAATCTGGGACCACGGCGCCTTCCTCGCCGCTGCAGCAGCAGGTGGGCGAGAGCCAGGCCTCGGGGGTCTGCAAGTCTCGGCTTGGCTTTCCTTCCCCAACCCCGTCAGAGCGTGAAGAAGCTGCACCAGGGGCCCGGGACTTCTCTAGAAGAGAGGTAGGGGGGAGATCTGGCCGGCCTGAAGCTACTGAGCCCCAGTGGGTACCCCATGGCCCCTGCCTCTGCCCCCACGGCCCGAAGCCGCTCTCTGCGAGCTTCCCATCGGCAGCTCGCTCTGCGAGGTCCTTGGCCGAGGAAGGTGTAGGGTCCCGTTCCCTTTTGTTCCACTGAGTTGCCGTCCTCTTCACACGCACTCTCGCAGCCGCCCAAGCTCCACTGCAAACAGCACAGCAGCGCCCAACCCAGCCACTGTTTGTTCAGCGAGGCGCTGGCAAGGCAAACACACACAACTGAGTCACAGGCGGAGCCCTCACCAACCGCAGCCACACAGAATACAAAACAGACCCTCTCCCCGTTTCGCCACCTCCCGCCGCCACAAGTCACCGACGCACTCGAAGTCTGGGACAGATAGGGGCGCTGGTGAACCAGAGGAGGGGCCGGCAAGGTGTGGGGGTCTGGGCTAGCCAGAGCTGGTTGTATCCCGGACTCTGTAGCCTTTTAGAGTGGGGCTGGACGCAGGCCGACGCATAACTATACACAAAGTTTCTTGCAAAGACTCAGAGGAGCTGGACGTACTTTACTTTCTGAGCTCCTGTCTCGGCACACACTGGCTTAGCCCTCACGCGGGCACCCGCGCGGCGGCGATCCTCCACGCACGCGCGCTGACTCCTCCCCTCCGTCGCCCCCTACCTAGGTTCCGCCCCCCCCCCCCAGCGGGCTGACCCCTGCAGACTACATTCTCCAAGAACCTCCTGGGCCGCCGAGCTCGGACCCTTCCATTTCCTTCGCTTCTGATTGGACACTGGTATCTACTTGCCACGCCCCCGGTGACGTAGCTTCGTTTGCCTCGGAGTCCGGGAGCCAAAGGGGCGGGAACGGGCGGGGCCTAGTCTACGCTATTGTCATGGAGACGAGAAGCCAGAGGCAGCGTTGGCTGGTCCAGCGGTCCGAAAGGGTGGCTAGCCCGCGGAGACTGGAGCTAAGCGAAGCAGCCTGGACGGCTGAGACATGGAGAAGCGTGAAGCCGGCCAGTGGCGGCTGCTCCCGCTACCCTCCTGGGCTCGGTGCAGGCCCAGGTCGTGGCGAGGAGCGCCCCAGAGCGTCCCCGCCCTGCTGCCTTGGCTCCCGCCTCCCGGGGCCGCGCAGCGCCTCCTCGCCCGCCTCGGGCTCCGCC